TAAAGATAATTACATGTTCACCAAATTAAAACCTTAATAATGAGCGGCTGCTGAAGTCGAACAAAATGAATCGCATTAATTCAAAACGATTTACTGTATTATGCAAATGTTACTGGCTTCAAAAGATTTATTTGTTACATGACTTGGGTCATTCTGACCACTCAACAATGCAGTAAAAAGTAGTTTAGCTCAGCTATTTGAGTTTGGTGTTCTGATATTTTTCTTTTATTAATATAAAAAGTAGATTTGTTTTGCGGATTTACCTTCAGTGCAACAGCATAAAATATCCAATAATAGTAATAATCTTTGCATTTGATATAGCGCTTTTCAAGTCTTCTAGACGTCTCAAAGCGCTTCACAGGATATACAGTAAAGTGAAATGACTGTACATTTGTGGGTGAAACGCGGCAGCCAATTGCGCACAGCAGTGTCCCACAAACAGTTGTGGATTGAGTGACCAAATTTTTTTTTTAAGGATTGTTATTCTCTGAAAGTGATCCGCCAATCGACTAACAAACGGGTTCCTTCTTACTTCTAAGTAAACAGAGGTGTGTGGAGTAAGGAAACTTGCCCAACATTTTGCCCTGCCAGGAATCGAACCCAGGTCTCTCACTTGCAAGGCGAGTGCTCTAGCCACTGAGCTACAGGTCTCCAGGACTATGCACACATGTAACCTGGAGTCAAAAGTATCCCAACTTTTGCAACTGTTAAAATGCGCTCAAACATTTGCCTAACCTGTGAGAGTTTGCTTCGTGTAGTGTGTATATTAATAGGAATAAAGGTAAATGTAAAAGGCACTGCTAATGATAACAGCTGGGCGTTACATGTCATATCACGGGTGTAATGTGCAGCCAGTACCTGCCCAACAGAAACAATAGTGGAGGAGAAATGAGGGCAGGGAAATAGAGAGAGGCAAGAATAAAATCAGCCTGCCCTTTCCTCTGGCTGGCTGTAGCTTGGCAGAATCAAAGGCATAATTCAAGTTGAAAGGCAGTCATTTGACCCGAAGGGAAGATAATTAATTTCAGATGGCCTTGCCACTATCCACTTTATATCACTGTACGTTTGTCATTTGCACGTTTTTAAATGTTTTAACTTCGGGGGATGGGGTGAGGGGTGTGGGGGGGGTGGGGGTGGATGGAATACAATGTGCGCTGGCAGTTCTGTACAAGCTGTACAACGTTAATCCAAGTGTAACTACACTTAGCCTGTTTAAACCTATCTGCTCCATTACCAGTGCCTCTTTAGAGATTGAGGTATGCTCTCATTAAAGTTACTGAACTTCGCTTTGAACCAGCAACAGTCACATTAAGTAGCACATAAAGTATGACCTTCAGTAATACTGTTGTGTTGTTTGACTGAATTGGGGCGCTTCAGTCTCAACATATCAACCACTAAGTTCTTGGCATTCACAATGAAGCTGATAGTGGGGTATATATATACATATATATATTTACTGTGTATATACATAGGGTTTGCACAAGCTTGGCAGCAATGGATGAATTGGTTGTCATGGACCATCACTGATTTGGAGCATTGCCCACACATCTTTTTGGACTTGAAGATGGAGTGTTTAAAAAAAAGTTAAAGTTGGCTGCTTTTGTGATTCCTTAACCCCTCCTTTTCTCTCGGCAAACAGCATGCCAAATGGAAAAGAACTTACTGCTTAACTCCATCCTTTGGTTCAGTTTTCAATCGCATTCTCACTAAACCCTTAAACTTTAAGACTAAGATTTCAGATGGTTAGACTCCAGCAGTTACCCGCAATGCACGCTCTGGGGTCCCCGAGTCTTAGTCCCTGCCAACCTGCGCCTAATACTTTCCGGAATTAGGTAAGCAGGATGCATCCCTCCAGGGAGAGAGAGAGTATTCCATTCCAACAATCTATTTCTGGAATTTCAATGTCTAGGTGCCTGGAATTCTCAGTTTGGTTTGGATTCTCTTAAGCGCGGTGATGGGTTTCAGCATGTGTCAGACACCTGGCTGACCAAACCAAATATAAGACTAAGATGACAGGGTTAAGTTCCCAGCTATAACTCAAAGCAGTGATCATTAAAGGTCCCAAGTATCAATTGCTTTTTCCTGGCTGCATTTGATGGTTGTGGATCCAAAGTATAGCCGGCGCCCCAACTCTCTGAATAATGAACGACTCATACAGGATGAAATGAACCAAACTGTGCTGATCCAAACTAAATTTACATTTTTAGCTGCTCAGATGACTTAGCACAGTCGCTTCAGAGCAGATCGGCTGTACAGGTGGTTCCCACGGTCAGTGCAGTCCATTAAATTAATGGTCAGTTTCGTTCTGATGTTTTTTATTTTAAAAAAACTTGAGGGTAGAGACGTGACAATATTCAGAAACTCACGCAACTGCCTCCCAGATTTAGTAGAGATATTTACGATAACTGAGTGTGCCTTGGCAAACGAGGATAATTCCCACCAATATATAAAAGGGAGATAATCACAGGGATCGGGCAAACAAAAACAAAACACCCTCTGGGCCCTAACCACAAGATCTCAAAACAAGCAGCTGGGCTTGTACGTAAGATTGAATTCTATCTCCCCTCATTCCTAGCAATATAAAATATCTTATCTGGTCTGGAGTAAGATTTGAAGAATTTCTAATGCAGTTTAGCCCAAGCTAAGGAGATAATGCCGTGCTTTCTGATACTTAGATGTAGACCCTTCATCAGACTGTGAATTGGATGTCATTTCCCATGCGCAGTGACTAACTAGATAATAATTACAGATTATGATGGAAGAGCTGTTGTCTATATGACAAGAGTGCAGTCAGTGGTCACTTTACTGAACACAGATTTATCTTTACGTTGAACCTTACAGACTTGGATCTGAGGCAGGATCGTGCCAAGAAATTTGCCAGGACCATATTATGTACCTAGGTGCAAATAAGAGTAAACTCTCTCCTGCCCACCCCCCCCCCCCCCACACACACACACGCCCTGAATGTACACCTGCATTTAGTTCAAAGATCAATATCTAATTTAGTACAATATTGATCTAATTTCCTGAATTAATCTGGAGACCAAATACGCATTCTCCCTCTGGGGGCTTGTATTGATTTTTAAACGCATGACCAGCGTTTACTCAAGCTGGTTTCATCCATTAACAGATTAATCTTCCAACACATGAACATATTTTTTTTTTTAAAATTCTGTTGTAACTTTTGAATTATTAAATAAAAGTGTACGTACAACTCAACTGCTTCAAGAATTAAAATTTCTTGGCACATTGCACAACCAAAACCACTCAATCAAATAACATCTGTCATTTAAGGTGCAAGTCTGGCACAGTTGGTAGCAGTCTATTAAGGTGCGGGAGTGATAGGGTGGATGCTGCATTGCCGGAGGTCAGTCCTCCAGTCATAATGTTAAACCGAGGACTTGTCTGCTTGTGCGCTTCTTTAAAGATCCCATGGTACTATTGAAAAAGAGGAGGGTGTTTCTTCAAGCCAACCGTTCTCCGAAAAAATCAATCAACAACAACTTGCATTTATATAGCGTACCCCACACAGGGCAGCATCTCAGAGAGGTTAATCATTTGTGTCTTTGCTCTTTGTGGTACATTGCTAGGCACAAAATTGGATGCTGTTTTTCCTACAAATACATAGTCACTGCACTTTACAATGCAGTTCTATGAGACAATGTGATGACAAACAACAAATTACATTTGTATGTAGCGCCTTTCATGTCGAGAGGACATCCAAGGCGCTGGATTTGTACCCGAGCTGGGGTTTGGGATCAGGAGATGTGGAGAGCAGGGAGGGAAGAGTTAGGAGGGTGACCAAAGGCGAGGTCGAAGAGGAAGGTTTTGAAATGGGCCTTAAAGGAGGGAAGGGAGGTGGCGAGGCGAAGGGACTGTGGGATAGAGTTCCAAAGGGTGGAGGCAGAAAGGCTGAAGGGCCTAAGACAAGGCACTCTTTAAAATACAAGTATTATTATCTACCAAACTAATATTCAGTAAACTTAGAAAACAGATCACTGTTAAAATGAGTATATACAGAATTAATAAAGGAAAATAAACAGCAACGATATCTTTATGATGTAAGTGTCGGGATAAACTGGCAGAAAGACTAACATTGCATCCATTAGACCAAAGTTCTGTTTGGATCAAGTTGCATTTGTCTGCAATGTTTTGGAATAAAGTGAGGTTAGTCTATTAATAATTATTTTAATCGATTGATTTTCCCTAGTAGCAAAAGCAATTTCCCACAGAAATGAACATGAAAAGCATCTGACAAAAACACAGCACTCTAATAGTTCCTAGACTAAGTAAATTTATTTTTATTTTATTTTGTATGTTTACAATTTCATTAAACAGCTCTAAAAAAGTATGTTTAAACAAACACTAGGCAATAAGCACAATAAACCCTGAAAATATTTAATGTTTACTGAGAGGTGTCTTTACAAGACAAATGTAATGAATATTTTGCAAATCCTCCAAAAAAATAAGTCATGTTTACAAGTTTATTTTATTTAGGAAGGCATTAACGATGAAATATAACTCAAGCTATTTATTCCGGATCACTTTAAAAAACAAACAAACTGCTATTTTTAAAAAAATTCAAAGGGCCCAATATAATTTACAAGTACAAACAAGTTTTAGTCACTCCTTCATTAAACAAAACTGCTGGTGAATGAATATAGAATTCACAGCCAATGTATATTCACCCCACCTTACACTTGAGATGTACATTCCAGTCAAACAATATCGAGAGTAAATGAATTTAGAACACAAACCATGAATGTTTTAAGGTCCTTAGCCCTAAATGCAAGATACACTTGAGATAAATGCTTCTGTTTATATTTTGCTGCTTTGGAACCTAATTTAGTATAATCACAACACACTCCACCCAACTAACGCGTTCACACAAACTTCCCTTTAATCTGATACTGTTAACTGTCAAAATTATATGTTTTGCTCACAAAATACACATTCACTTCACAGTGTACTCTGTGAAGCGCTTTGGGACGTCCTCCCGATATTCTGTGAAGCGCTTTGAAACATCTCAACACTATATCAAGTGCAAGGATTATTATTATTATTATTATGATCCACTGAAAATGCATGGGCTGCAGTCTGCTTTAAGCAATCTTGGGGGTTCAAACTGAATTTTGGAAACGATTTGTATCATCTATCATTAGACAAATATGAATGAGCATGGACGTCTGCTACGACGGTATAAAATATTGGCTTCCAATTCAACTTTCAGCCTGGCTCTTTGTTAAAAAGCAAAACTCTCTGCAAGCGATCGAGTTGTGTTCAAAAGAAACAAAGTGGTTCCTGTGCATTTTTTCTGTAATTTCAGTGTAAATTGGAAACCGAGGCATACTATAGTTGTTTCATGTTGACTGTGGTCTATTGTTTCCTCTGTAACTGTGCAATGAGTTCTTGACTGGAATCACTTGTGCTCTATCTCCATTGTTTGTCTGAATGTAAAGGAAGGAAGACATCCTCAGCACGTGAGAATGCTTTCCATTTCACCACTGGAAAGGGTCAACTGACAATCTTTCAGATCACACATCCGCTGATCTTCCCACACTGTCACCTTCTTCCTCCTGACAGATTGAGGGCAGAGCATCATCTGGAAACTCCTCCAGAAACTCTCCGACAGGCAGATGTAGAGAATGGGGTTGAGGCAACTGTTGGAGTAGGAGAGAGTCACCATGAACTCGAAGAGCCTCTTGATGGGGAAGCTGACAGTCAGGGGCAGGAAGAGGAAGCAGACGTTAATCAGGTAGAATGGCAGCCAGCAAATAGCGAAGCCCAACACTATAGCAACCACCATACAGGTGATTTTCTTCTCTGAACTATCTGAGTGCTGTATGCAGGGTGTCACTGCTTTAGTCCTTATTCTAACCAACAACATGATGTAGCAGAGGGTGATGATGATGAACGGCAAGACAAAGCCGAGCACAAAGGTGTAGACAATGAAAGCAGTGTTCCACATAAACACAGGCTCGGGCCAGATGAAGGTACATATTCCAAAAGTGTGGTCCACGTCTGAATAGATTGCTAAGGGGATCACAAGTATGAAGGAGATCAACCACAACATGAGACTGATTTTCTTGGCCAGGCTTGGGTTGTGCCATTTGTAGGACCTGATAGGGTGCACCACCGCCAAGTACCTGTCGACGCTCAGCATAGTGATGCAGAAGACGCTGGTGAACTGGTTGATGCTATCCAGGATCATGACCAACTTACACATGAAGCCCCCAAAGGGCCAGCGATGGAGGGCGATCTGCAGAGCTAGAAAGGGCAGCCCCAACATGAACAAGCCGTCAGCCATGGCCAGGTTGAAGATATAGATGTTGGAAGCCACTCTTCTCATCTTGGCCTGTTGGACAATGGTGAAGATGACCAAAGAATTGCTGACGAGTCCCACCAGGCAAAGCAAACAGTTGAGTGTGGGGATCAGGATATCGTAACTACTTAAGGAAGTTCCATTGTCATGGTCATAATGGGTGTGGTTGGCATGCCACAATCCATCTGAAAGGTTGTCTGTAGTATCCACTTGAATGAGGTCTCCATCGCCCACCTTAAGTGCAGATGTGTTCATTGTTTGACGGGAACCAACTCACTTTGCTAGAAAGTACTGTACTGTAATCTTGTTGTGTTAGTAGAGACAGAATGGAGGTAATCGATGTACAGTGGAGCTATTTTCGATGCAATGGATGGGTGTGCTCGGACATTCACTGGGAACTTTACACTTGTTTTCTCACGAAATTCACTCCAGTCTCATTCGGAGCTCACTCAAGAATGAACACCTTTCTGCTTCTACAGAAGTCGCTGGGAACACTCAGCAGGTCAAGGCAGCATCTATGGAGAAAGGAAAGCGAGTCAATTCGGTCTCCACAGTCCTTTCTCCATAGACCCTTCCTGACCTGCTGAGTGTTCCCAGCCACCTCTGTTTTTGTATCAGATGTCCAGCATCTGCAGTGTATTTCGCGTTTGGTTTATACCTTTCTGCTTCTAATTTGGAAGGTATTTCAGTGACTCACTTCCGCCGGTTGCCAGCAGCCAGTCCATCTGTTCAGTCCTCCATCGAGCTGAACTCTTTCTTTGTCTCTGATCAGCCACTCACTCTCCTTTGAAATACTTTCCAACTTTTCGTCCTGTTAAGGTTACCATGTGAGTTAGTGGTCACTGGTTAAGGTCCAGCAGCCACGACTGCAGACTTAATTGCAGCCTCCACCACTCACTCAAGTGAGAAACATTTGCAGAGCTGTTTCTTTTTATTTCTCTGGAGGAGTTGCTGTTTGAATCAGGATCAAATGGCATTTGCCACCTTCGCGTCAATTTAAAACGACTCGTTGAGAAGGCACAAGGGATAGATCTGATCATTAATTGCCCACCTCCCGACAGAAAAACAACCCTTCTCCAGTTGAACTAAAATGACTCGTTACCTTCTCAAAAACTTCGCAAAGTCAATGCAATCCAGCTGAGTACTACTGCACCTCGGCCAACTTTATTGTCAACCGAGTATAGTTGAAACGCGAACAAAAGGACACTTTATTGTACAAAAGTTGGGATTTCGTGTTAAGAGTTTATAGGGCACTTGATTGCAATTCTATTTCTGATCTGATGCGCATAAAATGATTCACATGGGGGTGGGGGGAGAGGAACTAGCAATCACATAGACCAAAGATTGAATCGTAAGTTATATATTTGTGGGACATTGCTGTGCGCAATTGGCTGCCGCGTTCGCCCACAAATATACAGTCAATTCACTTTACAGTGTGTTCTGTGAAGCGCTTTGGGACGTCCTCCTGACGTGAAAAGCGCTATATCAAATGCAAGGATTATTATTATTATTATTATATTGTAATTTTAAGAAACAACTTCCCGAAGTCGCGTTTTTGTGTTACTCTCGTTAAATTGCAGCTTTCGCACGAACAGCACACATGCCTTGCCCGACACACACACGCACAGAACTATTTCGAACACGCTCTTTCTTAAAAGAGACAAATCTGCTGCCACTTTTTTTTATACATAAAAAAATGATGATGTTCGCTGAATCCCAGGAATAATCTGTGGAAGAATTTCCCAGTCTCATCCATCACAAGACGTGCCTAATTTAACGCATTCCTGTTTGGGCAAATGCCACATTTCCCCAAGGATAACACTCTGCATTCTCCCAGACCCGTTTGATTGACAGACAGACGGTCTCAATAAAAAAGTGTGTGTGTGTGTGTGTGAGGGGTAGAGAAACATATTCTCAGAAAGTCGCAAATCGTCAATAGTAAATTGGCAAGAAAATGTTTATGGAAACTCGCAGGTCTTTTTTTTGGGGGGTGGGGGGGCTTTGACTTTACATCGCATTAGACAAGTTTGTAGGTTACATACCCAACAGCGCAAAAAGTTTAAAAGCAAGTTGGACGGTGGTAGTGTTTCAACGATTCAAATGTTATTTTGTTTAAAAAAATGACATAATTTTTCGAGCACTTCCAAAAATGACTGGTTTCCTTCCCAATGCTAAAAATCGAAGACAATATAATTAAGGCGATTCGAAAGGAGAGCTTTGTCAATTAAAGCAGAACTAAATAATTCCCCCCCCCCCAAAAAAAAAGTGAGATTTTTTTTTTTGAACGTGCACCGTAACGTTAACGGAACACGAGTTGAATGCTCCCACAGCTCTGGGTTGTCGTTACCTAAAGATTATGAGATTATTGGAAATCGATTTACAAAATAAAGTGCAGGTCAAAAAGACACATTTTATAAGGTGGAACCAATTCAAGTTACAACAACAACAACAACAACAACAAGATTACACTTGTCCAGCGCCTTTCACGTCGGAAGGACGTCCCAAGACGTTAAGGTCTTTGGACCGTGGGGTTTGTTTTTGTTAAGTGACTTTTGGAAGTGTCCTGTTTCAAATGTAATTTAAAATGCAAATGTCATTTTAAATTTGGTGGGGGGGGGGGGGGGGGGGGGGGGTTGGTCAATGGAAGTGGATGCCAACAGCTTAACCGATGTGCAGCAAAGGTTTAAAAGGTAAAAAAAAAAAGAAGAAAACTTTTTTTTTTGGAAACAGAGGGACTTGGTCTGAAATCCAAAAAAAGGAGTATCGACGCACTCAGTTCCAAGTTTGAAGGCAGAGATTCGGAGTACTCGCCCACAAAGTGCTGTCAGTGTTAATCGGTGGTCTCTTTGCCTTGTGTGTGTGTGTGTGTTTTTGTGTGTGTGTGTGTTTTTTGTGTGTGTTTTTTGTGTGTGTTTTTTTTGTGTTTTTTTGTGTGTGTGTGTTTTTGTGTGTGTGTTTTTTTTGTGTGTGTGTGTTTTTTTTGTGTGTGTGTGTTTTTGTGTGTGTGTTTTTTGTGTATGTGGTTTTTTTTGTGTGTTTTTTTTGTGTGTGTGTTTTTTGTGTGTGTTTTTTGTGTGTGTGTGTGTGTTTTTGTGTGTGTGTGTGTTTTTTGTGTATGTGTTTTTTTTTGTGTGTTTTTTTTGTATGTGTGTGTTTTTTTGTATGTGTGTGTTTTTTTGTATGTGTGTGTTTTTTTTGTATGTGTGTGTTTTTTTGTGTGTGTGTGTTTTTTTGTATGTGTTTTTGTGTTGTGTGTGTGTGTGTGTGTGGGTTTGCAAAAAAAAAGAAGAAGATTATCACCAGAAATTGCTCCACTCGTCAAGTCAGACAGACACCTCTCCTCTCTTGCAACTGAGCTGAGCCCCCAATCTCCTGTCTCCTCCAAACCTGTGCCTCGCAGCCTCTGAAGGGAGGACTGCGCTGATCCATCCTCACTCTCTCTTAACGCTTTGCACCTCACCTGTACCCCCCACTCCCCAGATCCCCCCCCCACCCCCTCCCACCCCCTCCCCAGACCCCACACGCACTCTCACAGTTACCTGTCGCGATTTCCATCCGACTCCAAACACGACACAGATGTCCACACTGGAGAGTCATTTAACCCTTCGAACTGGAGTGACTGTGTCCTGTGAGATCCGCAGGAGACTACATCCAAAAAAAAAAATTTGCAGTAGCGTTCGACTTGACTCTTTGGTGGGTGGGGAGGGAGGGGGGGGGGGGGGGGGGGTTGGAAGTAACTGAAACTTATCCAAACTGTCCCCCCACCCACACTCCCCCCACCCAAAAAAAAAAAATGCTGCTAGAAGGGTATTTGCAGTTGATGATTAACTCCCATTTCTTCTGGACTGCGGTTCCTCCTGACGCAAAGAACAGTGTAAGCAGTGATCAGTCATCACTCAAACACCAAAGGACTTACTTTCTGCGACACTGGTGTAACTGGCAAGTCCTCATGAGTCACTGGATTAACTAAATCGTGGTGGGTTTAAGAGGGAGTACATGATATATATATATGTATGTATACTTTATATATATATATAATATATTTTTATATGTATATATATGTATACTTTACAGTATATACAGTGGAGTCCTGTAGCTCAGTGGTTAGAGCACTCGCTTTGCAAGCGAGAGACCTGAGTTGAATTCCAAGCAGGTCAGAGCCAAACCTTGGGCAAGTTTCCTTACTCCACCCACACGCCTAATAAATAATCCCTCCAAAACCAAAAACGATAATAAATTGGTCATTTTCAATCCACGACGGTTTGTGGGACGTTGCTGGGCACAATCGGCTGCCGCGTCCGCCCGCAACTGCACAGTCAATTCACTTTACAGTGCGTTCTGTGAAGCGCTTTGGGACGTCCTTCCGACGTGAAAAGCGCTATATCAAATGCAAGGATTATTATTATTATTATTATTATGATCATAGATTACAAGAGAGATGAGAATGTGCAAGGTCTGTTGTTACTTTCGGTACACAGAGACAAGACCGACCCCCCCCCCCCCCCACCACCACCACCACCATCCCTCATCTTCAAACCAACTGCTCCCGCACTCTCTTACCTCACCCCAATGCCCCTCATCCGCACTGCCTCCTCATCCGCACTACCCCCTTTACGCCCAAATCCCCCCTGAACTCCTGAGACTTGGAAAATAGAAAGCCTTGCCTTGTAATCATTTGTTTACAATTCTAATGGATTTAAAATTCTAATGGTTTTGTTAGTTGTCCCTCCCCCCACCACCACAACAAAAGTTTCTGAATACATTTTAAGACTTTTTAAAATATTGTTATTATCAGGAGTCATTTGAGGAAGGAGTGATCACTGGGAATACCTTTTAACCCACACAACAGTCTAAAAAAGTTAATTATGTTAATGAGAGTTTGGAATAAACCTTTTTTTTTGTGGGATGCATCCTGGTTACCTAATTCCGGAAAGTATTAGGCAAGAGCCAAGGCTTGGGGATCCTATGCTTTTCAACATGACTCAAATGTTCCTAAATACCAAGTACCTGTTTCCTTTTCGTTGAAAACAAACTATAAGCAACTTTATAAATCATTTCTCCCCCACCCTTATATTTTGATTCTTGCGACCTGGACCAATCCATCGGTACTGTATGTTTACCATAGGGGTTAATATGGATACTGTGGAGTCTTGTAGCATATTGGTTAGAGCACTCGCCTCCCAAGCAGAAGGATCTGAGTTTGATTCCCGGCAGGGTGAAACGTTAGACCAGTTTCTTTACTACACACACTTCTGTTTACCTGGCAGTAAGTAGGAACCCGGTTGTTCATCATTTGGTGGATTGCTTTTCCGGGGGTAATAATCCTTCCAAAATAATAAATAAAAAAAAATTGGGTCGCTCAACCACAACTGTTGTACTCAATTGGCTGCCGTGTTTTGCCACAAAATATACAGTTAATCCACTTTACAATATATTCTGTAAAGTGCTTTGAGAAGTCTCAATGACGTGGTAAGGCATTATATCAAATGCGAGGATTATTATTATCACAACTCTATATGAATAGTTCTTTGTTTTCATCAGTTTCAGGTGAACTACGTGTGTAGATCCAATGACAGTGGACATGGTGAGATTGTGTGAAGAAAAACAGTGAGTATCTGATTTTGTCCAATCAGGAAGGAATTTAAATAAACAGGATGCATATGAGGTTCATACAAAAAGAACAAGCTGCCCTTGTCATGATGCATTTAAAGAGAAATAGGTTTCAGTTGCTTGATGAAGGCATAAATCTCCCAAGACACCCACCAACATGCTTCACATAGATTCTGTTCTTTGGATAGCTTTTGAGTCAGTCTGGAAGGGTTTGTTCACCATCTTGAAAATCCCCAGAGCACGGATAATAACAACGGTAAATGAAATTACCATACTGTATAGGATTAAAACATTTTGAGAAATTGTCAAAAGTCAGAGTTGAGTTCTAACATCCATGACTCACTGGGGACTCAGTTGGGAAAAAAATAGAATGATCCAAATGTGTGTTAACCAGCCATGCAGTTGTGCAGCAGGTAAGAGAATCACTACAATATGCCATGATTGGTAAAGTGTAATTTGAATCTGTGTCTTAGGTTGTTCATAGAGTGTAGGGAAGGGTACCAACCAGAGGCCAAGGATTTCCCGCAGGGCAGGGAAAACTTGGAGCTTGATTTTTTTTCAGGAATTGGCAGTACCAGGAGCAAATTGCTACTAACATGTTGATGCAGAGCTCAAGAGACCTAAGAAGAGAAGGGGGAAGCATTTAAAAATAACTTCCAAAAGCAAAATTCTGCTTGCAATATTTTCAGCAGATCAAGAAACCATCTTGATCATCTTTCTCCTCCCCACCCCCCTCACTCCGCCTCTCCCAGCTCCGATGTCCATTCAGCACTGTAAAGGCACTTTCAGATGACGTCCGATGTGGATGGCACTATATAAATGTCAATTGTATTGTGTTCATCAAATACCGGTAGCATCAGGAAGCATCTTTGAATATTAACAGTACAATGTTTTTCTTCCATATTGTGTGCACCTTTCCTCAAAGGTGCTGGAAAAGCTTGTATTTTTTAAAAAAATCAATGAATTCCTTCCCTGATATGCGCAATTGACTGCCGTGTTTTGCTCAAAAAATATAGTCAAATCACTTTAAGTATATTCGATGAAGCGCTTTGAGACACTTTGAAGACGTGATAAGGAGCTATATCAAATGCAAGGATTATTATTATTTATATTGAGCATTCACTCCATTGCTGTTGTGTGAGACATTGCAATGTGCAAATCGATTGACACGTTTGCCCACAAAATGCATGCGGTCGCACTACTTTACAGTACATCAAGTAAATAAAGCTTTGAGACGTCTCGAAGATGTGATAAGGCGCTATATCAAATGCAAGGATTATTATTATTACTTTATTTATTATTATTAAATCCTGTTAAGCACTTTGAGACGTCTTGGCAACATGTCAAGGTGCTGCACCAAATGTGAGGATCATTTATTTCTCGTATTTAGTCATGTTCTTTCTTATATGCCATTCCTTTACTGATTGCTCCACAAACTGCACACAGTCACACCGCTTAACAACAACAACAAATTAGGGTAGTGGAAGCCGATTCAATAACAACTTTCAAGAGCGAAGTAGATGGGTATTTGGAGAGGACAAGATTTCAGGGCTCCGGAGAGAAAGTGGGGGCCAGTGGGATCGAGCTGGGTTGCTCTTTTCGGAGCGGGCGCAGAGCCCCCCAACCCCCGATGGGCCGCACGGCCTCTTTCTGCGCTGCGCTGCGCTGTACAATCCCGTGACCCTAAACGGCATGACCGGCGCCCCTTCCCGTTGCCTCGCGCGGGGCACGTCAGGGCGACGGCCCCCGTCGGGCGCTCGGAGACGTCGCGGAGATCGAAACGCCCTTCGTCAAGTGCGACCCGAAGCCCGTGGTGGCCATCGCCGCCCCCCCCACCCATCCACCCCACCCCAGAACCAATCAGCCCCCCAATCAGCCCCCCAATGGCTCCCACTGGGGCAGGTGGACTTAATGGGGACCTCTCAGTCAGCTGTGAAAGGGATACAAGGTGACGGTTGACCGACGGGCGCCGACCACCAATCCCGGCTCGCGTCCCGCCCCGACCGCGCTCCGATTGGAGGACGCGGGCAGCGATCGCCCAATGAGAGGCCGGTGGGGGGCGGGGCTAGCGCTGCCGACCCCGCCCCCTCCCGACACGTGTCCCCCCACTTGGATGCGGAAGTGAACGCTGGAGCCCGAGCGGCTGAGGCTCAGAGTGGTTGGTGGTCGAGCACTGACCCCCACACCCCCCCCCACCCGCACCCCCACACCCGCACCCCCACCGGACGGGCAGACATGATCGAGGGATCCCACCCGGTGTTTCAGAGCCTCCTCGGGACCCTCCTGACCTGGGCTGTCACCGCCGCGGGAGCTGCCTTGGTGTTCATATTCTCCAGCGGGCAGGTTGGTGCCAGAGGGCTGTGCAGCCGCTTGGCCGGTGTGCCAACCTGGCCCGCCTCCTGGGCCAGAGGGCTGTGGGTTCAAGACCCCCCCCCCCACCACCCCACATACCATCCCCAACCCCACCCTCCACACCCACCCCACCCCCCCCCAACCCAACCCCCCAACCCCACCCTCCACACTCCCCCACATCCCCCCCCACCCCACCCTCCACACCCACCCCACCCCCCAACCCCACCCTCCACACTCCCCCACATCCCCCCCAACCCCACCCTCCACACCCACCCCACCCCCCCCCAACCCAACCCCCCCAACCCCACCCCCACACCCCCCCACATCCCTCTAACCCCACACTCCACACACTCCCACCCCCCCAACCCCACCCTCCACACCCCCACCAACCCCACCCTCCACACTCCCCCACATCCCCCCCAACCCCACCCTCCACACACACCCCCATCCCATCCCCAACCCCACCCTCCACACCCCCACCAACCCCATCCCATCCCCAACCCCACCCTCCACACCCCCACCAACCCCACCCTCCACACCCCCACCAACCCCACCCTCCACACTCCCCCACATCCCCCCAACCCCACCCTCCACACACACCCCCATCCCATCCCCAACCCCACCCTCCACACCCCCACCAACCCCATCCCATCCCCAACCCCACCCTCCACACCCCCACCAACCCCACACTCCACACCCCACCCGCAACCCCACCCTCCACACACCCCCAACCCCACCCTCCACACCCCCACACACCCCCAACCCCACCCTCCACACCCCCCCTCTCCACACCCACCCTCCATGTTGGGAAGTTGGAATCACATAAGTCTAAGCTGACATTCTCCAGTGAGGTGCTGGAGGGGGTGTGGGGGTGCGGTGGCGTCGGTGGTGGTGGTGGTGGGGCGGCGGGGGGTATGTTGCATTGTGGCAGGTGCTGTCCTTTGAATGAGACGTTAAACCCGGGTTCCCGTCCGCCTGTTCGGGTGGATGATAAAGATCCCCTGGTACTCTTCGAAAATGGTACTATCTCTCTGGCCCAATGTCCACTGGCCAACAAACCCCCAAATAACACGAGGTGTCAAGCGACTGCCAGGATGGTGAAAGGCAAATTGGTCTCGTTTCGCCTCGTAAATTCTTACGTTCCTCAATAAAATTGATTACTCCATGGCTGTTTGTGGGACATTGCTATGCGCAACTGGCTGCTGCGTTTAGCTCACAGAATACACAGTCAATTCACTTGTGAAACACTTTGAGACGTCTCGACGACGTGATAAGCTGCTATATCAAACGCAAGGATTGTTATTATTAAATTATTTCCTTGGTCTCGATGTTTGGCAGAATCGTTTCTGCTCCTGGCGCAAAAAAGTATGAATGAGTTGCTTGTCTGGACTTTAAATTTCTGAATTCTTAGTGACGGTTGTATAGAATTTAGGGAATGCACGATGATGCAAAAGACAGTCTTGCAGTGCTCAATGGTCTTGCATAACGTTCTAAATAAATTATTAATGTCGAAGTGCCCTTGTACAGCAATATCGATGTCTCGCTCGTATTTGCTCCTGAAGCGGTACTTCAGCTGCAGAGACCATGCTTTGCACTCCAAGGTTTATGCTACGTGGTTACACAGCTACATGGTTACACGGGGTTTATGGTAGGGCTGAAGCAACATCTAGATCATCAAGAAGTGTAGAGTGACTTAAAGGTATTAAGCAATTCTGCTGATGTCTTTTGAGGCCCAAACTGGCCTTATCATCCCTATTCTGCCACTTGATAGTTTCTTCCAGTTTGCTTGGATGTACTTCTGCAATACATCTCCTTGACTTTAAGTATGTCCTCCCCTGGTTTTGCTCCCCTCTCTTTATTTTTGCGAGCGCTCCTTTCTGTTTCAGTTTGCCAACTGAAATGATGAACTCAGAATCTCAGACATTTGTGAAGAGGTTGGGTGCATCCCTCGGTGATGGGAAATTGGAGAAAGAGGGACCCTCGGCTGTACTTTCTTGTGGCTGGTTGTGGAGCAGCAGTGAATGAAGGGACCTGTCCTTTTGATCGTGGATATTGGAGTGATGGGGGAGACCACGGTGGGCGTGTGAAAGGAAGTGTAAATCTGAGGTGTTTAGTGGAAAATTAACTTTCTCAGCAAAGTACAAATTGGGATAGCAGTGGATTTTGGAACATAAACCACTTTCAGCAAACATAATGATGACCCTGGAGTTATGTTGACACATGGTAACTGCTTGATAGATTTTCTATAGGGCACCATATCCTCGTGTATATCCTGTTGTTGATGTATTATGTTGACATTGTGTGTTTTCCTCTAAGGCAGGAGGTAACTGCTGTAACTAGAACTTTGTAAGTGGGAGGCAGTAAGTAAAAGGTGAAACGAATACATATCTGAAAGATTTTCTCCTACAGTTTCGGTGCTTGAATAATTTCTGTCTTACAAGTTGCTGGAAACTCAAGTAGTTCCTGTTAATGGTATGGCTCCAGTGTTTAGATTCTAGCTTTAAACAAATACACATTTTTTTTTTAGTTTGGAGAGGGACATATTAAAAAAAAACATGTTTTCCCACCCGTAGAGGTTACGTAGGTATCCCATTAATATGTGTTGCATTCAGAATAATTTATTAAAACGTTGTTACATCAAAGTGGTGTGTTACAGTTCGTTATATACTATAGGTGGTGGAGTTTCCCCAGCGACAAATTGCATATTAATTCCTGATAAACATGCACAGAATTAGAAAGGATGTTATAGCACAGAAACAGGCCATTTAGTCCAACGAGTCCAGCAGTGTTTATACTTCACACAAGCTTCCACACCTCCTAATCCTTTCCCCCTATGCCCCTCTCTTCCCTTCTCCCTCATGAATGCATCAAGTTTGCTCTTAAATATCCTGATGGTATTCTCACCATGCAATATTCTCACGATGCGATTGTCAAGCATTAAGGATGCCGGCTCATCATAAACTGCCAGCAGCATGGAGGAAATAGCCTCCATGTAAAATAACATGGTTTCTTATATGTAATTGATGCTAAGGACTGACTTCAAGGCTGTAGTCTAGTCTCGACAATTACGTGTAAATTATTAGAGAAGAAAGAAGAAAGAAAGAAAGCTCCAGTGTTTTTTGACACTTCCAAACCTCATCCCTTGCACTTTTAGATTACCATCTGGTAAATGCCATACGCTCAATTAATTCTTAGTTAATTGCACAGTAATTAGCTGCTGGAATGTAGCAATGTTTGAAAGTATTTCTCATCTGGAACTCTACAATATAGAGCACCATTTCTTAAGATGCGATACTTCCAGGATTGGGGTGGAAATTGTTGGAGAGAGTCGGTGTGGGGAACTGAACAGCTTTGTCTTTACCACAGTATTGTCAGTACATTTCTGTGGGGTGCCTTGAAAACTGGGAGGCAGTTTCATTGACTTCTTTATGGTCATGCAGTTGGAAATGAGAGGTGAATGTTTAGAGCTGTTGTAAATACATTATACCTTTAATTTGATTCTTTTTTTTCTCTCTCTCTCGTACAGAAACGAATACTTGATGGAAGTCTTGGGTTTGCGGCAGGGGTAAGTATATAAAGTAGTATTCAACAGCTCTGTTAAAATTACCCTGTGGCCATATGCTGTATCCTTATTATTGCTCATCTTATTATGCCATCTTTATAAATAAATTTATATTTATAAATATAAATTGTTATGCCATCGGTCACACCTCTTCCCCCCCCACCCCTCTCCCGATCCCAGCTCGGGTCTGAAATGCTGTACACTGTCCAACGCCTTGGGACGTCCTCTCAACGTGAAAGGCGCTATACAAATGTAATTTTTCCTGATGTGAGTGAGTTCAAAGTGGCAGCAATTTGATGTGAGGTATCGTACAAGAAGTATATTGTCACATTAGAGTATGTTCATTTTGTTCAGTGTGTGTAGACTTCCGATTACTTGAAGTCAACACACTTGACCAAACCTTTTAGTTATCAGGCTTCCCTCAGCCATTGGTAAAGCGCTAAACTGATGTGCTGATGGAACACATCTCAGCCCCCTACACGATGGAGGATGTTGGTGTCCGTGGGAAGGTGATGGGATGGGTACCAGGTGGGCACATTAGAAGCAGAAGTAGTAGGATTCTATAGGAACGGAAGAGTGCGAACGGTTAGACCGCAAATGCAGCTGGAAACGTTATGCTGACGTGTCCGTGACCATCCTGTTTCACAGCGACTTGCTAACTATGAAACTGGTGACCCTAAAAGCAAATTATGGACATGTGCCAAATAGTACCAAAATGTACCAATCAGCTGTGCTTCAGTAAACCTTTCTTCCTTTAGTATCTAGCAGTTTTAAGAAGCTGATTTTCAAAACTGGCATCTCGGATGTGTTTAGTTAGGGTTGGATTAGGTGTCCACTGGGTACATTGCAGTAACTGCATTGGTCTATATATGTTGAGTACTTCTATCAATCCCAATCCCATACAGGTACTAGAATGGACTCTCAATACATAGCTACGCAGATGGCACAAGTATTCCAATAACTTTTGAGGGATGTTGTTTCTGATCCTTCAAAGGCCCTATGGTAACCGTTAAAGGTCATCAACCCCATTGGCACACAAGTCTTTTCAGCTCTTAAGAACATGATTTGACAAAGTTGCTCTGAACAAGCAATGCTGGATAATAACATTGTTCCGTTGAAGCTCCATCCGTACTGGGGCTGACATCAGTTTCAGCTTTTTCATAGTTCCTTAGTTTGATGTTCACAACGTTCCCAATATTTGTTCTGGAAGGGCATGGATACTGAAACTTCTTTTGTTCTCATTTGTACAAGTTTAACAGTTTAACTTTTTCCAATCCATAAAGTAGCTGTTTTAAGCAGTTTTCCTGTGAAAAGAACAATTTGTTTCCTGAAAATCTCTTTGTAATGAGAGTACGAAGTTGTGCTCAGGTTTGTGCATGGGGCCGAGGTTTCCATTTAAAATCATCCCCTTCACTTGCTCGTTGACCGCACTTCAAATGGACTTTATTATACTGTAAAGTGAATTAACTGAGTGATATTTTGTGGGTGAAACGGCCACATTTAATCGCGTTGTGTACACATAAAGGTTGTATGAGAAACGAGCAGGAGAGAGTGGGGTTAAAGGAGAGGTGGTTTGGATGGAGGGAAACCACTAGCGAATTGAATGGCCCATTTCTTTGCAGTAATGATGAATGATTTATGTGTATGAAATGCCTTCTTGGCCTTAATCTTTGTTGCCGTTGCTAACATTTCTAGCTGCTTAGCGCGAGCAGAACAGGGAGAGCTTTCCTCTGCAAATGGAGATGTTAGACCTAAACTGGAGGTGGTACTTGACACTGACCCTGGGTGCCCACAATGGGGGGAAAAAGGTCATCCTTTTCCCTGAATTCCCTTGCATAATTTCACTAGAAACGTGATTTCAAAGTGTTTCCGACGATTGCGTTCGGTGTGACTGCAACCACTTTAGTTTTTATGATTCCGCTTCCCCTCGCTCTTTCTTTGGTCTTCCCAGGCAGCAGGAGCCATACCCTGGCTGACAGGCCTGGTAGGCAAGAGGTCTCCAGGACTTCGCTAATGCTGCTCTACGACTCAGTGCCGACAGACGCCCAGAGGTTGCGTGACTTGATTCCTAATCTGTCCTCCCTTCAACCTCGGGGCAAAGTACCAAGTGTCTCTGCAGTACAGTATCTCCCATGGGGCAGAGACTTGGTGGGGCAGGAAGAGGGGAATCGTAAATAGCAAAGTATTTCCGTTCATTATTGCGTTTGAAATTCAGATTCAATTATTATTTAGCATATTTCATCCAGGTGCGTGCATGTTTAATTCCGCTAAGTCCTTTTGTTCCTCCCTGAATAACAGTCAGTAATGACTCGTGAAACAGCACAAGCACAGTGGGTAAAATGTGCTGCAAACTTTCTGCATCTTTATTCAGTAAATAAGAAAGAGCTGTTGGTTTTAAACTCCCATCTTAAACTCAATCCTATGACGATTCATCAACTCCCGAAAATTGTCTTTCACATCTCGTCCAAACCGGTGGATTTCCAGCCTTGTAACTCAAATTGATATAACGAGGAGATTCGGGGAGTAGTTTCTGCAAAGTACAAAGGATGGAGAATATATGTTCTGCTGGAAGATCTGGAATAAGATCCATTGTACCTTCGGGCAGAGATGCTGTTTGTTCTTTTCGATGCAGTTGCGCTTCCAAGTCTAAACTGTGTTGGAAAAAGTCCACATCAAAGTAACGCACTGAGTGATGGTAATAAAAGTAACGTGGAATATTTTACTTTCAAGTACATATTCCAAAGACTGGCAGAGACTCTTAATTGAATTGAAGGCAACAAACTAATTTCAAGGCTCACTTAAACCTAAAGTGCACAAGCTCGGATTTTCATGGTCTATGGTGCCACTTAAGCTTCATGATTAGATGGCTACAAAACCCCACTGAGAAAAATATCCTTTTCCCACTTACCAGCCTGTGGTTACCTGTCTTTTCTCTCACTACAAATCTGTCTCCCTTCACCAATTTGACTCCACAAGGAACCGAGAGAGCTTGGAGACGAGCAGTTTGCCTGAAAACCAATGTCCTAAACAGTCAAATCACAATTAAAATAAGATGCTGAGACGGAGTTCAAGCTGGTAAAAGAATGCAATTCAAATGGCTTGCTTAACCATTTTAGCTGTAGAGTTTGATATCGCTTCAACCTCTTTATATTATGGACTGTAAATCCCTCTTATATTGCTTTGCAACTTGATCCCCTCACAAAATACACAGTCAGTTCACTTTACAGTATATTCTGTGAAGCGCTTTGAGAAGTCTTTCAAATGCAAGGATTACGCAAGGATTACTATTATTAATAGGACCATTCCCATCCAGTAGTGTTATTTGTGGCAATGATTACAATGCCTGATAATATCAAATTAGCTTCCTGAAACTTCATAACTTAATGTCATAAAGGACCTTTTTCTAAGCGCTTTGGGACGTCCTCCCGACGTGAAAAGCGCTATATCAAATGCAAGGATTATTATTATTATTATTATTATTAGACCCTTCGGCTTGTTGAGTCTGTTCCGCTAGTTTATTTGCTTAAGCTAGTTTTTTTTGCTACATTTTTAATTTCATTTTTCTACTCTTTCTCCGCATCGCATAATATCGTTATTTTTTTTTAAAAAATCAAACACGATTCTTTCAATGAAAAAAATATACCAAACATAACCAGAATTCACCTGGTGAAGTTGGCCACTGATATATCCCGCATTATTTTAAGATGTTAAAATGGTTAAAAGTGTAAATAGAGATTCGTAGCCTTGCGGTTTGAATATTTGACAAACAGGGATTGTACAGGATGTGTAAGCTTGCAATGCACATCACTCCTGTTTGGGATTGTTGGAATGATATGTGTTTCAAGCTATTGAATGCAATCGTTACACTTAAGACGTCTCAACGACGTGATAAGGCGCTATATCAAATGCAAGGATTATTATATACATCCAATATTTTGTCATTTGGCCCATCGAGTATTATTTTGCAAATTCCTCCACTCGGGCTTTCAACTCTTATCCTGATTCCCTGATCTTTTTTAGTACACATTTATATTCCTCTTCAAATACTTATTCAGATACCTTTTAGATGCTGTTTTGCTCTTAGGCTCGGTAGTTATTTCAGGCAGAGCATTCCAATAGCGCTCTGTGTGAGAAAAGCCTGCTAGCCTCCTCGGTTCGATGATATCAAATTAGATTTCACGATGGAGGAAGATAAATATTTGTTAGGTCAGGATATTAAGGTCAGGATATGGTGCAAAGGCGGGCAAATGGGCTTGAGGTATAGGTCAGCCATGATCTTATAAAATCGCGGAACTGGCTCGAGAAGGGGCTGAATATCATATGTATCTATGATATTTCTGCCGGTTAGTACTAGATATTTGCTGTGCACGTCAGCACTTATTCAACACTGTGTTGGCGCAATGGGGGTTGAGGTGATTGACATTGCAACTCAGAAAACGTTCATCAACTCGAGAGAAAATTGCTTTATTCATTAAAAAATTGTTTCATTAAATATACATCATTGAAGCGTAGTAAAGGTTATTTTGACCCCATTGTGTTATTAGCAGGGCTGCACATAATAACTCAAGAATTGTGCTTGAAAACTTTTTTGTTGTGTGTGTAAATATATATATATATAAAAAATGTTGCAAAAAGGGCTTTTGTGTTAAATTGTGCACCAGCAAAGAGTGCATTGCATTTTCTTCTGGCGGGATGGGCTAATAACTAGAATAATTTCTATTAATGGAGCGTAAATTGTTGTGGTATTGATGTCTGGGGCTGTGAAAAAGGTTTGGTGATGAAAGTGCAGCATTATTTGCAGCTTGTGCTTAATGATAGGGTTAATGTTGAGCTCTTTCGAACAAAGACACCAAATCTGAGTGTCCATTAAGCATCATTCCCCACATACCCCATGAGCTGATACTAAGAAAAAAGAATCCAGTGATGCTATTATCCATCTTTGAATACAGTGGCAATTTTCCTCTCTGCCTGCTGTGGCGCACAGAAATTGTTATCCACATACAAAGATAAACATTTTTACTTTGAAACATCTCAATATACTTCACAGGTAATTTTGGTCAAGTGTAGTGACTGTTTTTGTAGGCACAACCGGGTTGATGGCTGCCATGTGATTAGATGACTTGCCCATGGGGAGAGAGTAACAGAGCCCTTCTTTTCCCTCCGCTTTCCACCCACTTGACACATTTTTTCTTTTGACATGTAAAAGTACATGTGTAAACTGGCTGAGAATTTGACCCGAGTTTATACCGAGTTCATCTAAGCTTCTGAGTTGAAGGCTCGTGCTCCACACACGCACCCATCTCTGCTCTTAATGCTTTGAGGGGAGGACAGTGGGGTGGGTATTGTGGAAGGATGAGATCAAATGTTGATCAAAAAAGGGCCTTCTTCATCCGCACCAATCTTGTGTGCGATGTTTGCTGGTTTGGAGAGCTCTTTGTGGTTTTGCTTAGCTTGAGCTTGCTTGATTGGAGTCGCTCGGATGGTGCCAGGGTGCTTTCCTTGATGGTTTGATTTTTAGCCTACTTTGTAACAAGGGATTTGTGCTGCAGCCTGTGTGAAGTTAATAGAGCAGCTCCAAATTCTCATCTTTGCAAATTCGGGTCCGAGCGAGTTACGAACCAGATGGATATGAATTTCAGCGACTGCCACGACAATGCCGGTAGAGTAAAAGCTTAGCTGGCGATTAAGAGGTCAAAACTCATAAAGCGTGACTGACATCAAAGGAGCCCGGCCATGCATCGGGCTTGACAGGATTATGTAAAGGCACCTAATTGATCCGCATCTCTGTCTGTGGAAATGTAATAACGACTCGAAATGAGAAGATTTTAAGCAATTGCGAGACGTAATTTTTGTTTCTTTACATCCTTAATTAACTCAGAAATTGCTTCAGCACAGCCTAATTCAAGCATCTGATCTCAAGCACCCAGACTAATGGCACGGCTGCATTGTAGGTTGCTTTTGTGTTTCTCTCACCATCCAGACATCTTGGCTCCACGGTCCATCACTGATACGGCAGTGCAAGCAAATGGGATGTGAATTTCTTGCTTATCGAGTGTTAATCAATGCTGCAGAATTATTGAACTGCCCCCCTCCCCCATATGTAGCTTTCGGGGGAGGGAGAAAGAGGTAGGCTGAGCTTCTCGACGCTGCTCTGAACTTTCAAGCCACAAATGGTTTAAAAGAAAGACTTACCGGTAATCTGCGTTCACCTACAAACTCCGCAGCCACTGCACTTTACACTAAATGCTTTGAAGCTTTGAGTTGTCCCTCTGACATAAAAGGCGCTGTATTAAATGCAATGATTACGATAATAATATAAAAATTCTTGCTTTTGATATAGCGACTTGTCGAGTCTTCGAGGCGTCTCAAAGCGCTTCACATAATGTACTGTAAAGTGAATTGACTGTATATTGTATAGTTGCAAACATTCAGATCGATTTCAGAAGAAACTGATAATGACTGAGACCAAATGTCTTAGGACAGGACAGTGGCCATGAAATGTAAGGAAGTGAGTTTTGTTTTGTGATGTACAAATGCAATAGGTTAGTTGGTGATGCGTCGGACTATAGGAATTAAATGATCTGTTTAGACATATTTAGGGTAAGTGAAAATAAATGTTTTTTTTGATGGATGGATATTTGACTTTTTTTGGGCAAGAAAAATGTCCCAACGATCGGGTGGTCAGGTTGCCACGGAGAACAGTCGGCTATTTTTTTTCTTAAAAACGTCTTTTTTCTTTAAATTGCTGAAAAATATATTTGCTTCGGACTTCGGAAAAATACCCGCCTCCGCATATTACACGTGTGTAGTGCCTTTCGCGTTAGGCAGACGTCCCATGGCGCTGGAGAGTCAGTCAGACGCAGTGCTGTGCCTCGGAGTAATTATGGTCATGTTCCTGTGTTCAAGGTTATGCTGGCTGCGTCCTACTGGTCACTACTGGCACCGGCTATTGAAATGGCCGAGACCTCGGGGAGCTACGGAGCCTTCGCATTCTTTCCCGTGGGAGTGGGCTTCACGCTCGGAGCCGCCTTCGTCTACATGGCTGACGTCTTGTTGTCCTCGCTGGTGAGTGCTGCTGATTGGTGGAGCCGGCATTCCCGGCCTCGCCCGGGCCTTTTTCCGCACCCTGCCGGTTGCGTCGCATGGTATTTAAAAGGTTTCGACCTCACCCCCGTTAACGGTGCGGAGGCTGTGGTTTCGTGCCCGTGGTCTACTCCTCGCCGGTCGGGCCTTCAGCCTTTCTGCCCCCACCCTTTCGAACTCCATCCCACATTCCCTTCGCCTCGGCCCCTCCCTTGCCTCCTTCAAGGCGCGGCTCAAAACCCTCCTCTTCGACTGCGCCTTCGTCCACCCTCCTACCTCCACCCTCCCCGATCCCAACCCCCATGCTTGGGGACCAACTCCCTGACTGTCCAGCGCTTTGGGACGTCCTCCCGACATGAAGGGCGCTCTACTAATGTAATTTTGTATTGAATTGAGCACATCATCCTGGCTTTGGGAGATGATTAGAAGCTGAGAGAACAATCAAGAGAGGTGTAAGAGCCAGGCTAAAGCGGGGGGAGCAAAACCACCACCGTGCAGGAAAAAAAATATTGCACTGCAATGTTGCTGGAGGAAAGGCTATGCTTGATAAATCCTGTTAACAGATTGGTAGAATATTAGCAGGAGACATTGGAATTACCATGGTATTTTTCTTACGAGCTGTGTAGTCTGGAGAACATCAATATCACAGGTCGGGAACACGCTGTACAAGCAATCATCAGCTGTTAGTTAAAGGGCTTGAAAGGAGTGAATGGATGCCTTTCATGCTACTTGCCTACCGAATTAGCAGAGGTCCACATGCCCCATGCTCATTGTGGTCGGACCTGTTTGGTTTGTAACCTGTACTTTAGACAGGTGGACACTTGCCCTCTGCTGAGGGGTCTTCATGACTTCCTGTGGCACAAGGTGAAAGATGTGCTTTGTGAGCTGTCGCTTCCCAGTGTGTTGTAGGGATTCCTACAACGCATCTAATTGGAATGATGGAACGCTGGGAGGCAGGCAAATAGGGCCAGAAAACAGGGAAGCAGAGCTTTCTAGTTATCAGCCACAATAAACGCAGAGGGGGAAAGGTCAAAACGAGTTATTTAAAAGCAGCCTTGAGAAACACAGCCTGTTTAATATTGGCCCCAAAACAACAAGATGTCTAATTCATAATCTATGTACAATTGAACTTGGAGCAATTGCATTTGCCTTTTGACCCATTCAATTTAGCTGACATGAAACGAATGGTGTTGTGTGGAGACCTCGTTGCTGTGCTGTGTAAGTGACATTTTATAAGATACACTTGTAATCCAGGTTATTTGTGTTTAGTTGGTGGATTTATCTAGCGTATTAACTTTAGGGCCATGCTGGAGGGCTGAAATAACTTGGATGCTGACATGCTACGGGCTCAAATTCAGCTGATTGCCGGGATGCAACTTGGAGCAGCATTACTTGGTTGACATTTCTCTGCGTAAGCCAGCAGACAGAAATTGGAAATTTTTGCCCCTCCCCCCCCCCCCGTTAAATAAGATCTTTCCCATATAAATCCTAGCAAGCGATGCACAATCCAGACTGACCTTTGTCTACACCAAATACATTTTTCTTTATTGAATTTTTCTTCACTTTAGGCATTTATGAAGGTGTTCATGTGGCATCATCAGTATTTAATGTAAAGTAAATTGTCACTTGCTCACTTACTCACTGGGTTCTTTTTAAGCTAATTTTAACTAACACTTAAAGTAGGATTGACCCCAAGTTAACGCACAAGCCAGCATGCTGTGCCTTTTTTTTGTATAAAAAGTACATGAATTAGAGTACTCCGCTTGATCGAATAATATAATAATAATATTTTTAGTCCCACAGTGGCTGAGGGTTTGGTTCATTCAGAGCAATGTTGTGTGACTTGGATGAATTCAGGCCGTTGAAGATGTTTGTGTCTCAAGAAGCAAGGATGAGTGGAAGAGAAGAACAAGTATAACGTGGAGTCTCCAGTACTTGACTGTTTATACGGCACTCCAATTCGCAATCATTTTTTGCACTAATCCTTCACTTATTTAACCGGAGACAACTATCTGAACTTTAATTCAGTTCCGAAAATAGTTCAGTCAAATTATAGCTCCAATGCACAAGTGGGTAAGAAAGAGGAAAGGAAGCAGCTTTCAATCAAACCAACTAGCAAGTCCCAGAGGGAATTTTTTTAAAAAAAAATATTTTTCAGTCTATTGGGAGTGAATTATAAGGTTTCTGCAGAGATGCTTATCAGGTTCAGTGGAAAAATAGCTAGTTGTAGAAGCTGAGTGATTTGGGTGTAAGAGATAAGGGAACAGATGCATCATCGGGTGAGTTTGGAAGGAAGCAAAGGATTTATGCATAAAGAAGTCCGTGCAGCAGATTGGTGTATGATTAAGCGAGAACGGGCGTGTGGGGCTGCAACAATAATGTGCAGAGGAATACCTGCAAACAGCTTGATTGAAGGACGAGTGGAGGACGTCATTGGGTGAGAGTGCTGCTGTCATGGTGCACTGCCCCTAGTGGACAAGTCTAAATCCTGATGATACTCCAATGCAGTGCTGGGGTCGGGTGTTGATTTGCCGCAGGTGCTGTCCATTGGATGAAACGGTAAACCGGATGTCTGTCTGTTCAGATGGACGCTAAAGATTCCATGGCACGACTGGAAAAGAGAAGGGAATTTCTCCCGGTGTCCTGGTCGACATTCCCCCAAATAAAATTGGTCACTCACTCCACGACTGCCTGTTGGGGCACTGCTGTGCTCAAACTGGCTGCCGTGTTTCGCCCACAAAATACATAGTCGCTCCACTTGACAGTGTATCCTGTGAAACGCTTTGAGACGATAAGGCGCTGCATCAAATGCAAGGATTGTTATTATTACTTGCAGCACCTTGTTCTGGAAATCTCTGATGGTATTGATGACAGGGTCAAGTAGATTGCGCACAAATACAAGGTCGCTGCCTTGACAGCAATTCCCCGTGAAACACTTGCACCCGGTTTGACATTGTGGGTGTTGCATCAAAAGGTTTACTGTAATGTACTGAAGCAAATCCTTCAGCTGGAAGCATAGGACCTTTAAAGCAGTAGAAAATTCAGCCCAGGAGGCTGGTCACCCCCACTGTGCTGTTCTACGTTACCTTGTGCCCTGGAGCTGTCTGCTCTATATTGTATTTCCCCCCAGACTTCATGCTTATGCATGGTAATGGAGGAGAGTCTGGTCACTCTACACCTAGAGTGTGTGCATTTTGCTTGCAATGGAACGATGTAGAGAAAGATTGTGGGGGGAATGGGCTTGGGCTGCAGATGCACGGAGGCAAATAAATGTCAGCCTTGAGCTCTGGTTGCAGTGATTGAAAGCAGTGCTGTGCGTGTCGTTGGGACATGTCTGCTGTAGGTTGTGTGAGTCATTGTTGGGTAATTGAGTCATATCACAGTGGTCGTGCATCATTATTCTGAAGTTCATAAGTGTGGTATGAAAGGTTATTCTTAAACAGAAAACCTCCAGTGTGGGAGCCTCAAATGATGAATCTTATGAGGGGAAAAGGGACAGCCAACTGCTGATAAACCTCTTGTCTAACATTTATTTTCTGAAAACTGTTCTTTCCCGGGACAGCAGATAGTAAATCAAATTAAATGTTCCTCAGCTCTGCAGCTGAGCAGTGCTCTTGGGGCGGAAACAGGTACGAAATGGCATAGGTGAAGCCGGGCACGTTTTGCGGAGGACGTCATTTTGAGGCAATAATAATTTTGACGGTTGTGTAAAGAAGGAAGCTAAACAGTGTAACCTTGGCCTCTGTCTGCGTTCCGAATTGATAACCCCAGAGACGGCTAATATTCAATGATTCAAACCTGCAGGAATTCAATCAGAAGCCTCTGCAATGATCAATATTTATAGCTAATGGCTCTCTGCACCCAGAGGTTACAAGGTGTGACGTCGCTGGAGTAAAGGCTGCCGCATTTTCACCCACAAAATATACAGTCAATTCACTTTCTTTAATTGTGTGACGCGCTTTGAGACATCTCAAAGACATGATAAGGCATTATATCAAATGCGAGGATTATTATATAAGGATTATTATAAAGCAGCACACATAAACCCAGCCTCTGCGGCCATAGAAAGTGCTAATTGTGGTTCATCAGGGCTGATAAAGTCGAATGTTGGAGTGAGGGGGGAAGGGTAAGGAAGATTCCCTCATCTCGAAAATCTGGCCGTTTAATGATTTAATACCAGTAACTGAACAGATGCAGAGAAGTACTCGTAATCTTAGCACGATTGCAGTTGCACGCCTGTCTGAAACACAGTCTGCACCGGCTGAGATTCCTTTGTGTGATATTGACACGTTAACCTGCAAGACAATTAATCAGCAAGTTGTAGATTTCCACTGATTCCTTCAGTAATCGATGGAGTAAATGATTGCTGCTGTGGTCGGTTGGTTCCAGCCATGTTTACCTTCAGTGAAACTGTAGGGACGAATGAGAAAAGCAGGTGGTTTTGGTTTTTGGGAGGCCGAAGTTGCCCTTTAATATTCATTCAAAATTGGATTTGATGTGAAGGAACCGGAGAGAGACTCGCTTTGTGGTTCAGCATTTCAAAGCCTGGATGTACTACCAGCCTTGGAATCGTGACGGGTGAGAGAACGGCAGCAGAAAATAGCTCCCGGTCTAATGAGGTGCACTAATGTTTCCATCTGTCATATTCAATACTTTATGAGACAGCTTGAGCATTCATTCATAACAAATTAAGAAGTGGCATTGCGTTGGGATAGCCATTACTTTTTTATTGTGCACGATGATTGTATATATTTCACCCACAAAACACAGTCAATTCACTTTACATTATATTCTGTGAAGTGCTTTGAGCCGTCTCGAAGACACGATAAAGCGCTATAACAAATGCAAGGATTATTATTATTATTAGGCATGGACCTTTGGAGATTTTCTGTCCCAAGTTGGGGCTATCTATCATCTTCATCTATGAACCTGAGCAATGACCGGCAGAATCATAGAAGGAGGCCATTTGGCCCATCTTGCCT